GTTTTTACCATGGTCTCACTAATCAGTGTGTAAGCTGCTGTTATTAATTAATAGTCAAGTTAGATTGTTTTTGGTGACACTAACAAGGGACTATCTGACGGGTCTACTAATTTTAATGTTTTATTGCGTATGTGTTACCCTCGATTGTATGTAGTCACTTACAGTTAAAACAAAAACAAAAAATAACAAATCGATAAAATTGTTTTGATCCAAATATATTAATTACAAAGAAATTACTCAATAAACCATAGTTATTATTATTATTATTATTATTAATAATAACAATAATATAAATTGTCTGCGACTGGTGCGATTTTATTTATGCGCTAGTGTTCTACTTTTTACGAATCGCGGGAGATATTAGTTTGCGAATAATTTAGTCGGAAATGATGTTGTGAAAGAATTTAGCAATTTACATTGCTAACTGCGATTATTACTCTTCGTACCTATCATCGCGTGGAAAGTGGAGAACGTGAACTTTGCTTCAATTCTTAAATTTAATTGTAGCGTTTTTATGAGTATCTCTTCTATATTTAAAGCTTTTATTTAGCATAATTGCTGATTCCTTAAAACGTTGTTCCCTGGCTTCATACTTTATTCATGCTTCGCATAAATACTCAAATATTAATGAAGAGCAATAAATCCCACGTTTCTGCACTAAGATGGTTTGACATAAAAAGGAACTTAGACTGCTAATTTGAACAAATTGCAAATTATCATTCCCTTATATATAAAACAAAAGGTAGTAATAATTTTAGAAAAAGTCACTAAGCTTAAAAATAAGCCTCGGCTTATTGCAGATTTATAAATTTTTAATTTCGGTTTAGGAATCTGGAACAAGAAAACTGAGGATTGTTTTGTTTACAAAGCGTAATACATAAATTTCTGTATGTGTTTACTCCATTTCATTATTGTTTCTGGTGGATTAGTGATATAGATATCAATTTGTTTAAGGTGTCTGATACGTCACAACAGTGGCTAAAATATTAGTTTTAGGGAACAAAGAGGAGAAATAAAAAGGGAGTGTTCAATTATTTGTTTGTGTGGGAAAGTCTGAAACAGAATTGTAGGATTTATAAAAACGTTTTTACTACCTAATAACTTAATTAATACAAACTGTTTGTCCCACTTTGGTTTTTTATTTGTTTTCTTAAAGTGAAGAAAACTTTAAAAGAAATTGACAAAGTTATTTAATTAAAGGAAAGAAACTTTGTTAATCCATTGCTTAAAGTCGAATAACATTTACAAAAGATATCGAGAAATATCGTGATTTTAAATTATCTTGTCTGCCAATTTTGAAATTAAAACGAGAAGAGTTGTGAAATTTAGTTTTTCGATTAATTTCCGGATTTGCTAAAAACTGATATTTCAAGTGAAGAAGACTGAATTCTCGATTCTATCAGAAAAAAACGTATAACAAGATGTTTATGGTTACAAATATGCCGGATGAAAGATATAAATTACAAATTGATGGTTGTGTGGTTATCCAAACAAGGTGACAGATTGGATTGATTGAAATCGGCAGTGGCAGGTGGTAAATTTATTGTCTAATGGTTTATATCCTGAGCGGTTTTTAGAGGGTGTTATAATAATAGGGAGTTAGTGTCTCCTGAAGTAGAGCGCTGATATTTATCACGTGTGACAAGGTCAATGGATGCGAGAGACATTTCTGCGATAGATTTACACCAGCTAAAATACTGACGATGTGCTTTTTCGGCCACTTTTTACCCAATTTCTTTATTTTTACACGAAAGAAGAAACAAATACATCAAATAAATACTTGAAAATCTTATTTATCCAATGATATATAGCTAGAAAGCAAAAAAGCGCGCCGACGACAGCTCAAATTATTTTTTATCTCCATTTATTAACATTTATTTGTTCCGGTCATAAAATTTTCATTATTTTATTACTCATCATCAAATATCATCAAATAAATTTCATTATTACTCGTAGTTTTTAATATGAAATTTCAAATTTAGAGATTTGTTTTCAAATTCAACGTGCATTTCAATAGTCGCAGCTTTTGCGTGTTACTCAACATAACGTAAGAACCTTAAAGGCTTTTACGTCCTTTTCACTATTCCAGGAATATAATTACGCCATTTAAAGTTCATATATTTTCTTTATCATTTATTCAGTTGCACACAATGGGATCTAATCCTTTCGTTGGGTACACCAGTCAGAAAAAAAAACGTATCATGTGCGAAAGGTTTTCCTTTACCATTTAACCATTTTATATCAATGGCTCGTCTTAAACGTTCTTTTAGAAAATTCAAAGGTATTTATCGTATTTATCTAAAGTAAACGGTGACATGTGAAGGTTAAAGCAGGGAAAGGGTCAGGAAAAGCACCAAAAAGAAGCCCAGTAGCGAGCAAATATTGACTTTAATCGCTTTCTTTGTGACACGTCGATAATTTGACAGAAGAGTGGATCTTGTAACATTGAGTAGCTTTCCTCAATATAATCAATTTATAACCTCCTTTTGTAACTGCCTGAAAAAATATCGCTAATGTTTTCTTCGTACCGGCTTAATATTTAATTATTTAACTGTCTGAATTCTCCTTCAAGACAAACAAGATGAACAAACCGAGTGTCATACATCTAATAATATGTTATTACTGTATTATTATTTACTAATCACGATATCGTTTTGTCCGTTTTGGTTACAGAACATGCAATGGTGCTAGGTACGAGTCATCCCCATTATCTTTATCCCTTAAAAAAAATCTTTTTATCAAAGAACAATTTTATTACTTTTTTCTCGACCGATACATTTATTCTCTTAACCATTTGTGATATTTTGATTTAAATTCCGATCGATTTCGAATCGATTAAACGTAATGACAATGACGGATATTCATTCAAACTGTTGACTAACGTCGAAATGTCTCTCTGATGAGATTATAAAGAGATCGAACTTTAGCAGTAGGTTAATTAATTAAATCTACTTGACAATGGGATGATAATGATATTAGAGAGTGTCATAGACTGTTGGTTGCATTTGTGTTTAAATAAAAGAGACTGAGTTAACGTGTCTGTTTCGGATTGTTGTATCAGAGGATCGTGCATGTAATATTTGTTGGATGGTGCGTGAGCTTATTCACGCTTGGGGTCACTCATTTTCGGTTGTTTATTTAGTGGTTGTTTAGATAACATCGGCATGAACACCCTCAGTGATTCTCATCGAATACTGAAGACACGAGACTGTTATTTGAATAATTTGAATAATTTTTACTCAGTTAGTTTTTTTTTATTATTATTATGTCATCAGAGTTTTTAAATTTATCCCTTTCAAACACAAAACTTGATTTTCCAAAGAGATATTTTGTTACAGCGATGAAAAAATTAAATGCGGTTAACACTCTCATGTTTGATTTTGTTTTTACCATTTAGCAATTTCGAGTTGCAAACCAGTTTAGTAGTTATTTTGTTACAATTTCGTAGGCATTGTTTTGCAAGTGGGAATTGGGTGAAGCCAGAAAAGCGAATTCGCAATAGAAACATGATACATTAAGTGCGTCTATTTTTGAATACCAAACTAATTAAGTGGCAAAATTAAAAGTTTTTCGTAATTAATCGTTCATTACATCCACCTACCTGTCGAAAATTTGTTGTTTTAAACACTTTTGAAATTGTGTTACTGATATTGTTAAGCTACGAATACGGAATAATTAATCAATGAAGTTTAGCTTTGTGCAACACTATCAGTTGTTAGTGAGGTAAACCTTTATGTAATTTAAGACGAGGAAAGTTTCTTAGAAGATTGCTAAAACAATATATGATAAAGTAGTATTGCTGATTTGAGGTCATAGTTTTTATTGGGCAGTATTTTTGAATGGTGTCCGCAATGTAAGAAACTTTTTACGAGTAGCTAACGACTTTGAATGTACAGCCAAACGGGGCTGCCTGTACCCTATGCCAGATGTTACATTTGTGTATTTTATTTCCACTTGCTCGATAAAAGGGTTTTATGTCCTCGAACCGAGTCCTTGCTAATCTTATTGCGACCTGACTCAAATATAGGTTAGCCGTTTTAAAAGACGATATATTACCACCGCCGTAAAACTTGTATACGCCATGGGATACACATATATTTACTTATTTACATCAAATATAACTACTAACTGTAGGCATATACTTGTATCGCATTTCCACCCCTCTTGTCTACTACATTCCTCCTTTAGCTCAAGTTCAATACTTACCTATCTTTGGCTGAAGAGGAGAGAAGACCCTCTAAGCAAATTATCTACTACAACACCTTGCTGTAATTTAATATCAGCAAGGTCGCAAGCTTCATGCTCTAAACTCCACATGAATAAATTTTCGATCACAAACTCCGTTTTATTGCATTTTTGTTATTTCCTGGTTTCCGCTATTCGGTATTTTAACAATTGACTTACAGAAACACATTTCATAGCTCCAACAACGAATTGTATTGAAAGTAATTGGTTTTTAAATTACAACATACAACTTTCAACCAAACTAAACAAGCTTACCTTGATATTTATAGCTTTTGAGTTTTTATTTTGATACTATTCAAATTCAAAAATCAATTTAGATATTTCTTCTACAGGGAAATTTGATATTGCCACGTTTCAACGATACCTATCGACCCTATTATTGTTATTGCATGGAATCGAATAATTATTCGGAAATCAGAGGAATCTGGTGTTATTTTGCATAAATTATAAACGCAATTTGAGCACGTATTAATTTTAATGTACATACATATAAGATCAAATCAACCTATGCCGTTTGTTTCATGTAAATAATGATAAATTATTTCAGTTGTGGTAATGCATTTGCATCATTAAATAATTTGGAATTAGTGAAGAGCCCATGCACAATTATATCATAAACTAGTACACCAACTGTTGTATGAAATTAGTCATTAGTAATTTAGATAATTTTTCGCAAAATTCTCACGTTTGTGTTTGGCATATGTAAACTGATAATACATGAACTTATAATATAAGTGTGTTAAAGTGGCGTATTCGTGGGTAGTGAAAGCAATAAGTTTGTGAAGTGTATGAGCGGTTAATAGTGTTGTTTTAGGTAAATAGTGCCTATCTTACGAGAGTGCCAACATATGAAGTAAGTCAGAGTAGTTAGGATACTTACGGAGTTAATCCATTTGTTTAGTGTAAGATATAGGGTAAGTTGTTTTAGTCTAAAATTTGTGCAAACGTTATAAACCTTGCAGTGGCTTCGCGAAGACTCGTTTGCTACATCGTAAAATGAGCCGTATGAGTTGTTCCGTTTTATTATAGCATTTTTAAATGTGTACTTATTTCTAATAAAACCAGGTAGGAGTTCTGAGTCGTGAAGATGAGAAAATTAAATATTTTAATAATAGTACACTACTCCAAAAAATTAAAGGAACAAAAAAGTTTCCTAAATTTTTCAAAGGCTGTAACTTATCGAAAAATGGTTGTATTTAAATTAAAAAAAAAACATTTTGAAGCTTTAAGTTTCTAGTTTTGAGATCTTTTGACAAATATTTTTTCTGTGCAACGGTTATCACGCAATTCTATCTCCTATTGTGAGAAAAAAAATCTAAATTTTTATGTTATTCTATTTGTCCACAGACATGGAGATTTTTTTTTAGTTAAGTCAATACATAGGCCGGATAGCATGTTTGTTTACCTTTAATATGCTTTCTTCATATTTTCTTTACGTCAATTTGTCGCTAAGATATCTGACTTTAAATGAAAAAGAATCCTCCTGTCTTTGATCACCGATATCTCAGCAACCAATGACCACACTGAGAATATAAGGGTAGTGTCAAAAACTGGAATAAATGTCTTATAAGATTCTTTTATGATTTTTTTAGAAAATATTTTTTTTAATTCCCTACGACCGTGAACCAAAAACAGAAACATAAAAATTTAGATTTTTTTTTCTCGCACTTGTCAAAAAATCTCAAAACTAGAAACTTAAAACTTCAAAATGTTTTTTTTTTAATTTAGATACCACCATTTTTCGATGAGTTACAGCCTTTCAAAAATTACTAAAAATTTAGGAGTAGTATATATAACTCAGTAGACAGTCAAGTCAAGTTGAGAACATTCTTAAGAAATGACTGAATTGAGAGTAGAACATAATAATGAATGTAAATAAAAATGACGAAAATCTCCACAACTCCGTGATCTGCATTAAAATTTCCTTGAAGCGCGACTAATTTTATTTTGTTTTATTTTCGGAAGGCTCAGATGTCCGAAATGAAGAATAATCGAGTTACAATGAATTATAACTATACCAAAAATAACATATTATCAAGACTTCAATGTGAAAACTTTAGCCGTTTTAATACCTAAAAGTTTCAAGTTCGTGAAAACATTATAAAGTTCACGCATGATAGGAAACTTTATATCAGTAAATCTTAGGCATAGCTGCAGATGTTGCTTCATTTTAACTTATAAAACGTGTTTTCAATTTTCTATAAACCTAACTTTGGTAAAGTTGTGTCAATTGATCAATGAATTGACCTGGCGTCACATCAGAATACATAATTCATCTTTTTATAGCAAACATGTTACCCAACCAATCTTGTCTACTTTTATTGTGAATATAAAATTGACGTTGTTTGAGCCATATTCCGGTGCTTCCCGCCAGGTGCCTGTCATAAACGGTGGCAGTTTTAATTCGCGTTTTTCCCGTCATCACTTGCGAATATGTTATTTTATTTTTAAAAAACAGATTTTGCATGAACGTGTGTAAATTTTCATAATGCTCACGTCTACATCCAATTTACATTCAAATTTAAAACAAATAATTCGACAATCGCCGCATTTCATCACAAAATGTGCACACCAACATGCACTCGAAATTATTAACAGCCTCTTGGAACTTTCGCAATTTATTGCTTCAATGAAAACACGTTTATAGTTTCAAATAAAACTAAGAACAGTGTAATTTGAAATATTTTTTCTTTTAAACTACTTGAAAGTTTTTTCGAGCGTTAAAACGATGTCTATATATTTCCTCAATAGATTTGTTAAAGTCAAACTTTTGTGTTCGACAACACTAAATCCAAATCATCAACAAAAAATCACCAAAGCTAATAAAATGCCATTTCAATTCGACACCTTGATCCTCTTCACTCTTCGGCGACTTTTTAAAACCTAAATTTGCAACTTGTCAAGACATAAACATTTAGCTACTCCGTTATTTTGAAAAAAATTTGAGTTTGTAGTTGAGTTGAGAGCTTCATCATCACCTAAATAGTGTGTTTGGTTTAAGTGTGAGAATGTGTTTGACTGAGTGTTTCAAGTTGGAAATGTGAAGATACTATACGTCTTTAGTGCTAACAGCGGGATTTTGTTGCACATCGTTCAAATTTTGTGATTTAGAGTTAGTTCTTGCATGGTCACGGTCTTGGAATGTGCTATTAGCAGATAAATGCAGACATTGCCTGTGGTGGCAACTTAAGAACTTGTACAAATTCTGTTTGTAGCTGTATATTTTCGCTGGAAGCTAACGTAGGTTTAGAGGAAAGTACTTGAGCTTGACTTTGGTGACTGGTGGTCTATCATGGGTTTCAGTTCATGCGTGTGTTTCAAAACCACCTGTGTTAGTTAGAAGCTAAAGTTAGTTTAGGTTCAGATTTCAATATTATAGAATGCTGGAGTGTTGTTGTGTTTACCTGAGTTTTCGCAAATAAATTTCAGTTATGTGATATAGTGTTGCGAGGAAAGATAGTGTAAGTATCATCGATGTAGAAAATTCGTTCTGAAATAAGTTACAGAGTTTTAGAAGTGATAATTAACGTATATAAATTTAAAACTTTGAAACTAAAACGCATAAAGTTGACAGAAGAAGCCGCAAGGAAAATATTAAGTTGTTTGCCGACGTAAACTTCTCCAACTTGAAAAATGTGGTTTTTCCCAGAAATCCGTTCTAATCACGGAGTATTAATATTTAGCTAAAAACAGGAAACGTTCCCTTAACAATTATCACCGAGTTATAACGTAGCACGACAGGAAAGTACGAAAAGTAAAATTTCAATTCTAAACACGCAATATGCCCATCAATACGATCTTATTTTAGCTGATATCTTCTCTACCGGGTTGGAGCGACTCCACCACACCAGGGTAAGGGTTCTAAACAACTTCTTTCAGTATGATTCATTGTTAACAGAAACATTCCTCGGCAGGGAACATCGTTAATGGCAAAAACAGACAATGCTTCACTAGATATATAGACAAACAATACATTCAACCTTTCGTAAATAACACAATTGACTCATTAAAAAATGTCTTTATAATACTACAAAATCTAAATTTTAAGACGCATATTACTAATCTAGAGAAAGAAAACAAAGAAAAACTACACCAAGTCTTGTTTTAAATTGTTTTTTAAATGATTACTTTATTAATCTCGTAGTAATAAGAGTTTGGGGATAGTCCAGTATTCCTGAATGATCTGGAGCCACCAACCCATCGGGGGTTTTGCGGCCCCCACAACAGAAGAGCTTAGCGAAGCGCGCGCGAGGTCTCCTATGTATGCTAAACAGATACTTTGGAAACCCACACGCGCTCACGATATATTACAGCGATTCTCAAACATCACCCACTTAGCTGCCGTCGACATAACATAATGCATTATATAATTTTTACCATCCTACATTCACACTCGACAAAAATGCTAATTTAGAAAATACCATCTCTGCAAAAACTTGTTCACTTACACAATTGGCGCCGATTGAAACCGGTTTTTCTCACTTATTCTACATACGAGTAGAAGGAAAAGTGCGATGTTGAATTGCCACCGTTTGGCAGTCTCTGGAGACTGAATCTACCTTCTTTGCATGCCGGCCATTTCCCGAACTTCACTATACTTCACTATATAAGAATTGCGACAGTATATAATATTCTTAAAATGTCTCCTGACTTGAATGATTCACAATAATACTATGTATAGATTCAACACTCCCATTTGAGGGAAAACTTGACTAACTTTGAGTTTTCTATTTTTTCTTTTGATATCATTTCATACTTTTGAAAAGTTGAAGTAGTTGTTATTCTTGAATTGTAACTTGAATATATTATACAATATTTTTCCTGCATTTATCCCACTTACTTCAACTCTATTCTTCTAGTATTCTACCTTTCTAACACAAGACATTAATGACTACTTATGTGTAATTTATTGACTCTTTACAGAGTTCAACGCTTACTTCCAAGTTGAAAATAAAATGCTTTTGTCGACTGCTTTGTAAAGCTAAACTTGCGATTTGGTAAAGTTGTGTCTTTGGTTGTAATAATCGGAGATTTCGACTAGATCTATTGATCTCCTTTTATTAAATTCGTGCATGAGCTATTGTTATCTCAAGAATTGAGACTAACGCATAGCTATGCAAATGATCTGTAAATTCAGAGTCTTCTATTAATTGGTATTGAAGTCTTAGTGAATAAGCTATCTCAGAGCTTTACATCGCTGAAATAACTTGACCAAAATGGACAATAGGAACGTATTTAATCATTACAAAATTAGTTAAATCGCATCCAACTATCGCTCTAAATCTTTACTACAAACCGTTTAATTACATATTTGACACAATTTAATTTACTACTGTAATTCCACAATAATATTTAAAAGGTTGAAATAAAGATATTGTAAATTTCTTTTATGTTTCCTTACATAAAAACGACATTATACCTATATAAGTTGTCGACATCATATGTATAGCGGTTTTCCAGCAGTTTTTATTTTATGGCAAAGCTTTTACACTTTATGATGACAATATACTTATATTTTATTTAGACTAAAGCTCAGTGATAAAGACAAAAGTAGTTTCCTTTGTACGGTTTTCACACACTACACCAACCAATCGTTCGATTAATGTTTCTGATACATTTTATTATTACCGACATTTTAAACGTGGAAAAAAACGCATAAATCTAAATTCTGAAAACTACAAGAAACACAAAAATGTTCAATAAAATGTTTCTATCTCTAACAGTTTTAATAAAACTAATTTTAGAGAGCAAACGTTTTGCAATTTATTGTGAGCTCGTCAGGAAAGCTCAACCACAAAGCTTATCACTCATCTTTCCCACTTCTCAACACTCGCACGAGATTTACAGCGTATG